AAAAAAACTCCTCAAACTGACAAGGACAGGCTCGGTGACCATCAACGGGGAAGAATAGACAGGACACGAAACATCAAGCCAAAACGGAGAGGCTCCGACGAGATATTCATCACCGGACCTGAACACCCCGCCTTGCAGGCTACCGTTGGGGGAAGCCATCAGGTAAACAAAAGGAAAAATCCAGCCGAAATATCCATCGGCTCCAACCCGGATCCAGCCATCCCATCCGGATGGCCTGAACCACAATGAAATCAAGAGCCACTCAGAACTTCTTTACATATGAGGAGACTCGGTCCGGACGTCCATTCGACTCTATTCTCCAACGCCAGGAAATCAATTCATACGACAATCAAAGACTGTTGATGAATGGTGCCTGCCTGGAATTTGGCCTCAAGGCTAAAAATCCCTATAAAAACCCCGGACAGTTTACCCTCCTTCGTGGATTTGGGAACACCTATACCTTTGGGTATAGACCCCTGTCCACCCAGCGCTGCGCTGTTTGTTTTATTGTGGTTTTCCCTCATTGTTTATTTTTTTATAAAAATTGTTTTATAATAAATTGTTTTTATTTAACCCAAATCTGCCTTTGCATTTATAACATGAAACACAAACAATTCTGTGTTTTTTCACTCTAGTCTGCCCTAAGGGTCCTGGTAACAAGAACTTGAGTTACCCTTGCCTTGAGGGCCAGGTCATAACATATTCCATCTCCTATTTCTTTAATTTTCCCTATTGTACTCTGCATTAATAGTCTTTCTATGGCTAATTTTTATACTAGTGCTGAAATACACTCTACTAACTCGCTTTGTTTGTTTTTTTAAGAAACACTAAGTTTTTTCCAGTTACGTGATACATTCCTTGCTTTCAGTTCAGGGGAAGTTTATCTGAGGTAAAACAGAATATTTGTCATGTTCTCAAAAGTATTTGCTAAGAAAACAAACTAAAACATGCTGTATGCCATTGCTTAGGATTAATAGGACTATGAAATACTTTCATATTTTATGTGTAACATTTCACATACTTGATATGTGCAGTGTGCAATGTTACATACACATTTTCCACCATATATACATACATTTTCTACCAGCTTTTGCCATGGTATACCTTGATTTATGTACCTTTAAAAAATCTTTGATGATTGAAACGTGAGCATATTCTGTATTTACAGGTGTATTTTTAATAAAAAGAAAATAAACCTACGTGTTTTTTTAAATGTCAAATGCTGCTAACTCCCCTTGAAGTGGATGTAAGAACTAACTCAATGGCTAACATCTGACATGTGTCTTGCTTTGATGAAACAAAGATTTAAAATATGATTTCCTCCCTTCTGTATTTATCTCATTGTTCTTCCTCTCAGCTTACTTCAATTACAGACTTGTATTTCCATTAGTATATCTATCTATGTTTCTGGGAGTAAAATACAAATGTTCTAACATGAGTTGCAAGTTGGTTGCAAGACCAGTTTTATTTTGGTCTAATGGACAGTAGTGGGTCTGGATAAATATATGCTTAACTGTTAAAAATATCTATTTTTTTTTTACTATAGTGCAAAAGTATAGTATGCTCATGAGAGAAGCCATCTTACTTGGATTAAAATCTATCTGTAATGCAGAAAAATACCAATTATTTGAAATGTTATAGACAAAATTCCGTGCCAAGTCTGGTCTTTCAATACTTAGGAGTTCTCTGTAGATATTATACATAAAAGGCTGGACACTGTAGGATATTTTGTAAATTGCATTTTTCTTTTCAGAAAAAGATTAAATTTAATTATTATTTGCAATAATCAATGTGGATAAAACTGCATGAAGGGATAAGAAGAGCATGCAGTGACTTCCTAGGCAGTTTGGTGTCTAATGTATGGTAACCTAATCACAGAAGAATACTGCTTTAGACAGTCTTACTTCCTTCCATCAGTAAGAAAAAGCAGCAGCTACTCCTAAGTGTTTACTTTAATACAGGTGGAGAAAGTAAGCAGTTGTGTTCATCATAGTACATCTTAGAGAACTGATAGTTTCTAATTTTCCCCAGGAGTCACAGCTGAAAGCTCTGAAGGAGACTGTGCAGCTTTGCTTGTCTTCTGTTCTGCGCAATCAGCCTCCCACAATGAATCTAATCTCTTCAAAACCACCTGAGAAGCTGAATTCCTCAAATACAAAGAGCTCCAAAGTTCCATTTCAAGAGACAAGTACCAAGGTATGATTTCTGTCTTGGGTGGGGATTTTTTAACATCTTCAAAAGGTTGTCCCAAAGGGCTTCATACTGAAACTAAGGAGGAATTCAAAATCAGTGGAAGATTAAGACAAATTTTGAGGATAATTCTAAGACTGTTTCCGACGTCAATAAATTGTTTTCTCAGTTGGGAAGCAGCTACATTTTACTGAGTAACAAAATTCTATCACTTGGCAAATGGATTATGTCTGCACAACAAATCTACAATGAAGATGGATTTGCATTTAAAATAAATGGGGGTGTTAATTCATAGGATCATTTACCTTTTAGGCACTGATAATGAGTTTGTGGTAATACAGCGCTAAACAGTAATTTGGGGTTTGCTTATCATGGTTTCTTTCAATGGAAAAAAAAAATTATATAAAAACTATAAAATAATCCGGGACACCCAAATCAAAATTGCCAAAATGGATCAATGAACTTGAAAATAGGCCATAGGGAATATTCCAGTCTTGCAAGATGAGAAGGGCAGTTTCCGAGAAAGCAGGAGGAAAAAAGAGATGAAACGTGTTTTGAGTCAATAGATTCAAACATTAAAATACAGTCAAGATTTACAATGATTAACAACTGTCCTAGTAATTTTCATCTCCAGTGTTGCATTTTGCTCCTGAATTCAACTGATACAATAGATAGATCTAAAGAAATCCGTAATTTCAGTGAAAGGAAGGAAAGGACACTTCAATGTCCTCCTTTCATTCCAAAACTGAAATAATTTATAATTTGTATATGGCAGTTGTTTGTATTCACTCTTAGTGCACAGGCTGAAGCCAAAAACTAGTAATCTTTCTACATGTAATTGAAATTAAAATACAATTGTGGAAAGCAGAAGATAATTATAAAACTGGATATCTCATCACTACTATTAAAATTATGACTGTTGATTCCTTAATAACTGTTTTACAGAAAGAAGCAATCATTCCCAAAAATGATTACCTCTGGAAAAAAAGCAGTGTGTTAATTAGTAGCAGCACATGGGTATGATAGTGTTCATGTAGATTAAGCTCACTGGATCTGGTTGTATAAGACAGCAGACTTTTCTTTCGTAGGTCATGCAAACTCAAAAGCACTTCGGGATCTCAGGAGCATATTGTTCCTAATTAATGTGGCTGTAAAATTGTTTATCTTGCTCTTATTGTCCTTGTCTTCAGTTTGGAAGTGTTCATGCCTCTGTCATGAGAGCAGAGAAGTACTGAAGGATAAGGGCCAGCTAGACATTATGTCTGTGTTTAAAACTGATCTAGGGTCAGAGCCTTTGGAGAATTTGAGGTCTCCTTCATGTTACAGATAGGGGACATGAGAATACAGAACAGAGATTAGAATTAGGTTTTTGATATTTGACTGAAATAGAGAGTACTTTTCCTTCTTTTTTTTTTCAAATGACCATAATAGATTTTGTGTTTAGTGTAATTGGTAAAATATGTCAGTACTTCTGTGCTACAGCCTTTTGAGAAACCAGCCTTTAGTCCTCTATCCAGAAGTGCTTGAATAAGTTAAAATGACTCTTAATAGGCAGTTCTCATATTTCTCTGCACTTGGCATATGCCATGAAAATGTCTGAAAGAATAATGGTCTGTAAACCTCTTCTTCCACACATTGACACCTGATTATTAAAAATCTGTGTATTATCTGTGATTATAAAACTAATGAAATCTGCTACTGTGAATCAAGCTGTTAAAGAATCATAGTCAGTCACCCTGCGCACTCAAGATAGATGTTTTTCTATTATGATACCCTTTCTTATAGATCTTCTCCTTGGCTTTTTTTACTCTGTGACAAACATCAGTTAACTCTTAAATACAGATCTGTAGCTCTCTTTTTCATTATTATTAGATTTGCATAAATATTTTGATATTGCAGGCTAGTTTTTGGGGGGAATATAAATGTATGTGATTATTTAAATGTATTTTACATAGAAGTGGGAACTTAAGATGAGCAGCACTTACAATCCTGTCCTGTCTCATAAGCAGCACTTTCACCTTCAGGCAACAAATGATAATTTGTCTGGTAAATACTTTAAGATATTCTCATCCAGCATAAAAATTTCTTTCTAAAATGTCAGACTTACTTTAAATCTATGGAAGGATAAATCATTCAGTGTGTAATAGCTGTACCACTTGGGGACAATTTCCCGGGGGTGGGGGGGGGGTACGCTTCCTTATTAAAAAAAGAAGTTCCAAATTAGTAGGTTGTATATTTGAATTCATTATTGGTAACCATAATACCTGACAGCTTGTTAGAGGTATTTATCACAAGAACCTGGTGTAGAAAGAATAAATAGGAAAGCAAGTTGCCACATTTCTTGAAAAGAAAGTACTTAGTCATTTTGGTTTTTTTAAGAGAATATGATATGAAAAAGAATAAATTAGGTTTAAAAAATGTGTGCAAAGCAGTGCATTATTAAGTGCCTGAATCAGTGCAAAATAAAGTTGTTGTCCTGGATAGTTCATTAATCTGGAAAATTGTGTAGTAATGGGAAATTATTACATTTAAATGATAGAAAAAGTGATCTTAAAGTGATCAAAAGCAGTATAAGTCTGAAGTATTTTTTTTTTACATGTCTTAAATAAATATTTGCAATGTACAAGAATGTAAAATACAGAATTTACCATTGTAAATTTGCACTAATATTTCAATTCAAAGCCATTTTGCCTGTCATGGACTTGTCATAACAGGTACTGTTATGTGTACCTGGTACAATGTGTACTTGTGCCTAAAGCTGACATTGGTAAATGGATTTAGGGTGCTGTGCATACAAGTTTCAGTGACACAGCTAAAATAAAGCATAAGTAGAAGGAAGATAATTAATCCTGAACCATGAGGTTTTTAGCTTTCTGTATTATTGACAATTACTTTTATTATATAGTTTTGATACTTTGAGAAGGGTGACCTAGAACAGAGGCTAGAGAGAGTTAAGAATAAAGTAGGTATTTCTTGAAAGGCCTTAAAAGATACACCTTGAGTAGTACAAGAGCCTGGCCAGGGCTACACCCAAGATAAACCTAAAAATGGTCACAAAAATGGATGACTAGTCACGAGGTCTCTACATTTTTATAAGTTTTGGTCCATCTGCATAACAGGTTTGTCCAATTACAGCTTCAGGTTATGAAGTTCCATCCTTCTTGTTTTCTCTCTTCAATCCACCACTGTTTATGCTTTTGGGCCTGAAACTTTTAATGCTTGTCCCTGATATCAAGCTAGAAAAGGATTTGTTTTGTCTACCTACTCTGTGAAGAGAGCTCACTAACACTTAATATGAAGCTCAAAACTACACACCTAGGCAGCACAGAATATGAAAAATATGAAAGCTTAAACTTAAGGTATCAGTTTCTTTTTCACTGTAATGTCAATAATTATTCTATGTTCTGCCAGTGGAAAACACTTCCAAACTCCTTGACAGATGGACATATGACAGATCTTTTGTTGTAGCACCTTTCTTGCCTCATTCCCATTACAGAGGTGGTGATGAAAGAGAATAATGAAGACTGAAGAGGACTGAAACTCTGCTTTCCTTTTTATTCTCTAGACGAATGCCCAAGGACCTGGATACTTAAAGAGCCTACTTTGTGCATGAAAATCATAATATTGACTGTGCTGCCAGTCATGGGAAGTGTGGGTTGGTGTAATCAGAGAATCAAAGCACTGGTAATTAAGACCTAGTGAAGAATTTTCTGCACTTAGTCATGGCATGACAAAAAATCTCTGTGAATTTATATGGAGCTAGCGGAGAGATTGCATTCTTACTCCATTTCTATTAATTCCTCTTCCTGAAAAAAGTTTATAAGGTTATTACACCTTACAAAAAGCAAAAAATTGTAATAATACCTTTGGCTGTGCTGCGTAAAGATAACCTGTGCTCCAAATACAACAAAATGAGCTGTGGGACATTAACGGCAAACCAAACTCAGAAGTGAAACAGAAGAAAATTCTATTTCACATACCAAGGTTGAATACAAAAATCATGAGGAACACAGTGATTGATTGTTCCATGTATTCCTCAAATTAATTCCTTCTTTATAAACACCCTGCAGGTTTTGTGTATTTTGTGAACTGCACTATTCTAAAAGTGGAAATACACTTGAATTTCAAACTAAACAATAGTACCCATATGTACACTCAATATTGTACATAGCATAGGTTGAAAGACAACCTATGAATGCCACATGACTGTGTGGATACTAAATGCAAAAAGCAAGCAGGGAACAGAGCCTGTGTGAAACAAAGTCATACAGGCTTCTCACTGACCTGGGAAAGCATAAGAAGGAATCCAAACAGTCCTTGGTAAAAGACAACAATTTGCAGGTGTTGTTTAGTCAAGGGGTGATGTTCCACTTAACCAATGATGGTGATGTGTACCTTTAATGACCAATGAGAGTTTCACCTTTTGGACCTTCTTGAACATGTGTATAAAAGCAGATTAAGAATAATAAACTTTGCTCTCTAGTACAATGAAGCTAAGAGTCAGTGTCGTACTGCTTCACCATTCCTAATATAGTGTGACATGAGTGTTCTTGTCTCAATGGAGAAAACACGGGCTGAATGGAATAAGAACTATCTTTCTGTAGAAATGCATAGTACAGACTGAAAGGCCAACTACTACTCCATTGTGAAAAGATTTAAAGATCTTGCAAGAAATTTAACCACTTTTGTGATTAAAAACTTCAGCAAGGAGTAATTTCTTTTGCCTCAGATATATATTGTGAATATTTAGGACTCCAGCATATATTACTGAGTGCAAAAATTCAGAAAAGTTCAAGTACTGTGTGCCATCCTCCCTTTCTTTGGAAATAATTCTTTCATTCCTCATCAAAGTAAGCTTGGGGAACTTTATATCTTTGTATAGACTAAAAAGAGTTCTTGTGGGAGCAAGGAGAAGAGCTTGTGAGACTTTTCAGAGAAGGAACAAGTCTGGAAAGATTGTCAAGACCAGGGTAGACTCTGAAGAGCATTTTGAAATGGCCATGTAG